AGTGAAGATAAAGTGAAAGGCAGTGGGCTAATTTGTTTTGTGGAGGAAGGTTCAAGACAACTGCTTTTGGTCTGTACCATGGTTACTGCTCACTGCTGTCCATCAGATCCATAGTGGGAACAAGACATGGGTGAGTTTGCAGACAGAGGCAGATATAATCATTAAGGAGACTAGCAGTACGGTAGAGAATCCTCACACTCAACCCTGGGACTGTGGGGAAAGTGCTTTGGGAGTAAGGCCCCGCACAGTAAAGGCTCCAAGCGGGGGAATTGTGAATGCACTTGAAGACAGACTGAACAGGAACACCTGAAGGGATTTCTTGTCCAAACAACTGCCTTTGGAAGTGTTTTCCCTGGGCCGGCTGCAGAGCACACAGAGGCCACTGCAGCTGGGGTATAAGAGAGTCAAAGTGTATCTCCAGCAGGCAGCAAAACTTATCAGCGTTGCCAATGTGATGCTGTGTAGACATGCAAAAATAACGGTTACAGGGCCATAGTGGCTTGCAGCAGAGTTCCAGAAAGCGAGTTAATTCAGCCAGTGTGTGTGGCAGGTTCAGGTCCTCTGTGAGCCCTGAGAAGTCATTGTGCGAAACCATCAAGGTAAAGCCTAAGAGGCAGTGGGACCCCCAGATGTTAGAAACACCAGGATCACGGGACAGAGGCAGAACTGGAGAGACACGGCCATGCAAGCCTTTTGGAGCGTGGATGATACCCTAAGTCCCAGACATTGGACATGGTGTGTGCCCTGCAGGGCTTTGGTCTTGCTTTGACAAAATCCTTCCTTGTTGTGCCTCTTATTATTTCCCACGTTTATTCTCTGCTGTTGCATGTCAGAAGCTGGACATCCATTATTCTATAGGGACCCACAGTGGGAGAGTTTGTCATGAGTCTTACAAGAGACATTCAGCTTGGACTTTTGAACAATGTTGTTTCTGTTACGACTTTGGACTTTAAGATTAGCTCAACATGTTTTGTACTGATACGGCCATGAGGGGTAGGATGTTCATATAAAGTGATATGTTCAGTGTCAAGTTGACAAGGTGTAGACTTGTGGTAATTAATGGTCATTGTCAGTTGCTCTGGATACAGAATCAGGAAACACATCCCGAGTGTATCTGCGAGAATATTTCTGGGGAGTTCTAACTAAGGAGGGAAGACCCACCCTGGACTGGGAGGCACCATGCCATGAAGAAGGAAGCTAAGCACCAGCGTTGACTTTCCCCATAAACTGGGAACAGCGTCCACAGCTAAGCGCTTAGGCACTGGAGAGCAGGGCTCGTTCAATCCTATTCCTCCTGTGTATGTGGTGAGACGTGCCGCCCCATGGGTCTTGGCTCCCTTTTATCTAAAGTAAGATCATATCCGGCAGGCATACATGCTGTATTTCTGTAACTTGGCACAGGTAAGAAGACCAAGAGTTCAAGACACACCTGTGCTCCCTAACCCTGTGTCAGAACACGAAAGGGATAGCACAACTTACCTTCAGGTGAGGGAGAACATCACATTCTGTGTAAGGGTACCTCATCCTGACAACCTGAAACCGCACTGCTGAAGGGAACGCAACAGTGCAGTTCCTACCCTGGGCCTGGGCCATAAGACCAGGAGCAGTAATAGATGAGAGTATCTTGGGATCTTAGAGGGGGGACGCACAACCCGGCCCAGAGCAGGAGACAGGAGGAGGTGACAGGAGTGACAGGAGACACTCCAAAGCAGTCTCCAGGGTAAACAGACACTAGTGAGTGGAAGGAAGGACAAGGACTCCAGGGGCTGAGCCCGTATGAGCCAGGGCAGAGGACACCATGCTGTGTTGGGAAACTGGCGCAGATATGTGAGATGAACTTGGAGATGTGGCTTCACATGCCTTGGAAGAGGTGGGTCTTGAACCTGTAGATGGTAGAGAACTTGAAAGGGGCTTAAACAGAGGAGGAACGTGACTTAATGGATCATTCTAGGCTCACCTTTCCACAATGACATGCTGCCTTGTATAGTTTGCTTCTAATGATCCTCTAATCTGCTCCAATCAGAAAAACCTCAGACTACCATAGTGTGTGGGGGGGGAACCCTCAGACTGCGGGCAAGGGGAGTGTAAACCTCAGAGTACAGTAGTGTGTGTGTGTGTGTGTGTGTGTGTGTGTGTGTGTGTGTGTGTGTGTGTGTGCAAACCTCAGACTACCATAGTGTGGGGGCAGGTTATGACTGTTTTCATGTGTGGGGATGTTTTTTATATGTACTACCTGCATGCCTGATGCCCTCAAGGGCCAGAAGAGGACATCTGCTCCCTTGGAACTCGAGTTAGAGATGGCTGGGGGCCATCACATGGGTGCTAGAAATTGAACCTGGGTCCTCTGGAAGAACAGTCAGTGTCCTTAACCTCTGAGCCACCTCTCCAGCCCCCCACTATAGTTTAAATGTCCTCTCCCAAACCCACATTGCCATTGTAGTGCCACTGTCACAGGATGAAGAGGCGGGACCATCAAAAAGTGAGAGGACCATAAACTTAACAAGGCCATTGTGTGTGAGGGGAATTAGATAGTGATTTGCTTTCTCCCTCTTTTCCCTCCCTCCCTCACCACGTGCTGCCCTCTGCTGTTAGGACACAGGACGAAGATCTTCAGCAATCGTGAGTGCTCTGCTCCTGGCTTCCCCAGCCCCAGATCCAGAATCGCTAGAAATTCACCTCTTTGACAAACAATAGGGTGCACTGAAACATGTTCCAGGTCCTTTTAGGACAGAACTGGGTGTCACTCATTTACTTTTGTAGCACAAAATATACAGTGTTCAATGGATGAACAAATGTCCTTCAGTGGCATCCAATTCAACATGCCCTCTGCCCTGCAGGACTCCCCAGCACCAGAGACAGGGTTTCTGTGTAGCCCTAGCTGTCTTGGATCTAGCACTGTAGACCAGGCTGGACTTGAACTCACAGTGTTCGCCTGCCTCTGTCTGCCAAGCCAGCTGGCCTTCCTATGACTTGGGATCAGGCTTTTGAAGAGAGTATGATATTTGCCTACTTTTTTGAGTTTTTGTTTGCTTTTTGAATGTTCCACTAGAATTTTGAATGAATTGGGATTCTGAAGAACGCCTCCCAGCCCATCCTCCACCGGGGCTGCAGGGGAAGGGCCTGACTGGTAGATGGATGTGCTGATTGGTTAGTGTAAATGCTGTTTATGGTAACAGAGCGGACTCTCTTGGTGCTGTGGGCTCTGCACCTGTAGATTTAACCAACCACAATCAAAAGTGTTTATGAAAGAAACTGAGCTGAACACGTACGCATTTGTTTTCTTATTCCCCAGACAGCACAGCCTAGCTTCACCCAGACACCTGGAACTTCCTTGTATTAGGGTAATCTAGACTCCATGTGCTGGGGGGGGGGGTGTATGTGTGAAATGGTACTCTAGGCCATTTTACACAGGGGATGAAGCATCTATGGATAACTGGGAGGGAACTGGAACCCAGGACCATGGACACAGCAGGACAGGATCGTCTTGTGGGTTCCCAGGCCGCAAAGGCTCCCAGCAAAAGTTGCAGTCTTTCTAGTTAGGCTGAGGTAGCCTGAACCACCAAACTGGTTCGAGTACTGGGAATGAACTAGGGGTACCAATGCCAACTGTGGGGGTGAAAGTATTAGCATGTAATAGATGGGCATTACATTAACATGGGTATTCCAAGCCGGCGGCAGTTAGCCACGATGACTCCCACCTAACCCTGTCTGCCAGGGATTAAAGGGGCCATGAGAGGAATGACAGGCAGACTCCACTCAAGTCCCGCTGACAGCTTCCTTTCCTAGCTGGATCTCCCTCAACCCAACCTTGGTACCACTATCTCCCGGAGAGGCTTATAACGTGGAAGGAAGGCGCTTCTACAGATGACAGGCGTAACAGCAAAGCCAGCTGCGGGGTCAGATATGCCAGGGTTAAGCAGGGACCTGAGACCCAGAACCTAGCACCAGGGGACACACCGCTTCCTACAGCTAGGAGACTTCTGCTCCCATAAAGGAGTCACCTGCAGGAGTCCTCTGGGGAACAGACAAGCCACCTCCCCTGCCTCCTAATCCGTTTGATCAGATTTATTCTTGACTGTGGCAAGGGCGGGGCTCTAAGCCCCACTGGGCCCATATAGCTGCCATACAAGCGAGGGAAGGAGGAAGGGCTTTCCCAAAGGTCCCCTCCCCTGTCCTGTCAATGGTCTTTACAGCTCACTGGGCAGGACCCTACTGACCAGCAGACTGTCTGTCTGTCCCTCCAGCATGGTCAAGCCTTTTACTGATGGTGTTCTTACTGACACAGGCAATCTGTGGGCTCCACAGGAACCACTTGGAGTTTCCTAGGCAAGACAGTGTTTTGTTCCTTTAGGTTTTTGTTTGCTTGGCGTTTGGGCGGAGGTCACAACTTGCTAACGAGCTTCCAGCCCTCAGGACTTCACCTCTCCTGGCTCATACGCTCACTGGCACAGCCTGTGGGAAGGGTCACTCCCTCTATGATCACAGTTTGTTTCTGGGTTAATTTTTCCAGGACTTTTAGTTTTGTGTGTATGGGTGTTTTGCCTGCACGTATGTCTACACACCATGTGCATTTCTGGTGCCTACATGGGTCAGAAGAGGGCAACGGATCACCTGGAGCTGAACTCACCAGGCCCGGCTTACAGTGGCAGCTGGTGCATGACTGCACACACAGCCCTGAATACTAACATCCCCGTGCTGTCTATCAGCGCCTCACTCTACCTCAGCTTTGTCAAGACAACTACGTCAGCAAGGCCAGGTGGCACCCCAGGCCAGCTGTCTAGGGTAGTATATAGGGCTCAGTGCACCCCTGTGAGCACGGCAAGCACGGCGGCCTCAACAACCATGAACCACATTCCATCTTGGGGAGCTACCTTCCAACTGAAGAGGAAAACAGCGGTCTCCAAGCTCCTCCTTCATCCCGTCATGGCGGAGCTTAACTCCATACCAGGGAAGCCTCCTCTTAGCCACTTAACTCTAGTGAACAAAGCCACAGACACATGTCTCGTAGTCTGTTTAATTTGTGCTGCTCACTCAGACAGATGGCGCACGTCCCAGTGTCAGCGCCTGGAAGAAGCCCTTCTCCCCCTCATGAAGGAGCACAGGTGATGTTCAGGAAGAGGAGCCCTGCGAGTGACTCCTGACCACTTCTGACTGATGAAGGGCAGTCTCTAATTTCTCTGGCACTCATGACCCTGGGGGGGCAGGGCTGCTGGGGCTGCTGTCAGGGACAGTGAGGCTCTCTGTGAGCATGCCTACCAGCTACCTTCTTTGGCAAAAGCAAGCAGAGAAACTACAAAGGTCAGAGGCAAAGACAGCAGTGACTGTCACTTCCTTCCCGTAAGGCCTTTTCATAGGAAACCAGAGCTGTCTGGGAAAGCCAGGCAGCAGCCACACCCCACAACCCTGGTGCTCTCCCTGCACCAAAGGAAGGCACCCAGGCTGCCTGCCAACCCCCTGGAAACACCTAGAAATGTCTGTTGTCCTGCTGACCTGTGTCCCACACACATGGGCTTCTCACTTCCTGCCGTTTTCTCCACACATGTGCAAACATTACCCTGTAAGCAAGTGAAAGAGAGACACAAGCGACCTTCCCTGCCTGACGAGCTTTAAGAAATTCCTTTCTGTGGGCAGAAGCAAGAAGAGGAGTCTAGGCAGTTTCCCAAGAGGCCACACTGCAAGGCCCTCAGGGCTTGGCCTTCCTCCCAAGCTAAGGAGTCAGCACCCCAGGGAGCAAAAGTGCAGACCACTGGCCTTGCTGCTTAGACAATGAGCTGGTCTTATTCAGTTGCACACATAGATCTGGCTCCTGAGAAGGGGGACCTCACCACAGCCCCCACCAGGTGCTTGGAACTGGAAAGGGACCTGTCCCGTTGAAAAGCAACACCCAGCCATGAGATGTGAGGCTTGCCATGTCACCTTAAGGTACAGCCACCCCACCAAAGGCCTCAAGATAAACCCTGACAAGGGGCGGGTACTTGCGTGTGACTACAAGACCCCTAGCTGTTATACAGGGGAATCACCCTGGTGATCTCCCGACGACAGATTGGACACCGCTTGGGCTCTGGCAAGGCAAGGTAACACTGGCGACAGGAACAGACATGCCCGCATTCTAGGAAGACACAGGACTTGAAACTGCTCAGGCACACCACGCAGGCGCTCTTCAGGCTCTCCCTGTCCTCAGGCGAGGCTTGGCTCAGCAGGTGGGCCTCGTGCTCCCGGAACTCTTCCTGGAGCTGCTGCTCAGCAGGCGCTACCAGCCGCTGCAGGTACTGCCTCCGCAGGATGAAGAAGAGGGTGGCACAGGTGGCAAAGCCGAACACCAGGACCAGAATCTTCCAGAGCCGGACACTGGACTCCTGCCTGTGCAGCAGGCTGTCGAAGTCCTGGCTGCTCAAATAGTACTGCATGCCTTGCTTGGGGGGCTGCAGGCGGACAGAGTTGTTGTCCAGGACCAGTTCACCAACCCCGGTGAGGGTGGCCCCCACCTTCAGCATCTCCTCTGTCTCCTGGATGCCTTTGGGCCGCTCACCACTGATGTAGTGGCCGATGGCATCAGTGAATGACTGCACAGAGGGGTGAAACTTCTCGTACACGGTCTCTAGGCCCAGATCCACCGAGTCCAGGGGCTTCAGCACCCGCACGGCCACAGCTACACCATCCTCGTGGGGCACAAGGTCAAAGGGCACAGTGTTAGTCCTCTGGTGAATGATCTTAGAATAGTCATTCCTAAAAGAATGCAAGGACCGAAGATGAACAAAAGGGAACAGGCACCCGACTCCCACACACTGGACCACCTTCATGCAGATACCAACACAGAATCCACCGGATAGATTCCGCCATCGAAACTGAAAGCTGGTCTCCAAATCAGTCTGTTCTAGAGCAATGGTTCTTAAGCTTCCTAAGGCAGTGACATTTTAATACAGTTTTTCATGGTGTAGTATCTCGCTGCTACTTCCTAACTGTAACTGATACTGTTATGAATTTTAATGTAAATGTCTGTGTTTTCCAATGGTCTCAGGCAATGCCTGTGAAAGGATCATCTGACACCCCCTAAGTGGGTCACGACCCACAGGTTGAGAACACTGTTCTAGAGCATTGACTCACTGAGACCACAGCAAGGAGGGTCCACTCATAAGCCTCAGGTTTCAGTGGACAACAGTTGGCAACAGGAGTCACCTATAGTGTTTATTCCCTGTGTTGCTATCATAAAACACCTGAGACAAAAATCTTCTAGGAGCAGGTGGGAAAATGGGTCACTTCATGTGATGGCACAAAACTATTTAAACAGATCCACATGTGACTGCTCTATAAATGAGTATCTCTACAACTTCAGTGTGCTAAGAGTCAACGGCTGCCAGGTTCCATCTGAAAACCAGGTTCTGTAATCAGGCAGTGGGCCTAGGGTCCTGTGCTGTACCTGGCTGCCTCGTAGTGGGCCTAGGGGCCTGTGCTGTACCTGGCTGTCTCGTAGGTTCTAAGGGAGGTGCACCGTACACACAGCGCAGTACTGGGGGTGCAGAGAGGCAGCACTGCAACCTGTCCCCAAAAAGCTAAAGACGCAGCAAGCCCAGACCCGGCCCCCAAACAGAGTGCGGTTCCAGCCACTGGAGAGCGGAGAGAGGACACGCACCAAAGGTGGGTTGTTCGATTCCACACCATCTTGTGCTCCTGAAGCGTCAGCCGCTGGATCACCCCCCTGCAGTTTTCCACAAACTGGCTGTTGAGTGTTTCTTTAACGGACCGCACAGCTCCTGTGGAGAAAACAATGGTGGGTCTTCTAAGGACGGCACTGCCTTTGAGTTGAGACCGCTAATTAATCACCACAGTGGCATCTGTGTCACCTAAGGCATGCAGGACCTACGTAAGCAGCTCACATGAGTCACATCATTCAGATCTTAACTATCTTACACCATACTAAGTCCCCTAAAGTAATCAGAGACCTGCAACAGTCTGGTCACCTTGCCTGAGACAACAGCCCCCACCATTAAAAGGCTCTCATGTGGAGCAGCAAAGGGGCGCAGCAGGTGAAATGCCAATAAGTCTGACAACCTGAACCGTGAAGCCAACCCCTAAGTTGTCCTCCGACCTCCACAAGTGCGGAGTGGCACCCTCACCCTTCCTTCCCACACGAACATAAAATAAACAGATAGACAGATAGACAGACAGACAGACAGACAGACAGACAGATAGATAGAGGAATAAATAAAGTGTAAAAAAGAGAGGGGCATGTGTCGGCCAAGATGGTTTTACTACTAGGAAGAGGCAGATGCTGCCCCTCATACTAAAAAGCAAACGTACCTTCAATGACAGCGTAAGGCACACACTTTCCTGGTGCTTCTGAAAGAATGCCCTTTAAATCTTCACCCAAGTGGATCTTCTTAGCTCCCTAAACACAAAAATAAGTAGATGCTAAGTTGGCCACAATACTGACACGCTGCATCGAACTTTAGGTGTTGGGGGATGGGAGATGAGGAGACTGGACGGGAGGGAGTATCTAGATGATGTGGTTCCCAGGTCTGGCCCTGAAACTTGACCATAAACAGGCAGGTGCTCTGGGCTCATCTTCACGGAGGCTGGAGGTGTCACCATCGGCTTCCAGTTGAACAAACCATTCCTCTAACGCTTCACTTTTACGTGAAGATATAAACAGTATTAGTCACTGGTGTACCCAAGAGCCAACTTCAGCAAAGATGAAGCTGGATCAAACTGCTGCATATCCCTGGTGATTTTGCACAACTTAGAGTCTGTTTCCAAACTAGAAAGGAAGGGGAAACCATACTTTCACAGGATCTTGTAGGTGGCATAAATGAACCTTGAGGTCTAGCAAAACCCAGTGCAGGTCTGATGCATGGGAGCCTTGCAATACAAAGATTCCCATGACCAAGGAGGATAACAGCGGGAGTAGGACACAAACTCCGCTGTGTGTTCTGTAACCTGACCATGAAATGAAAATCTAAAGTTAGAAGTCCCATGGTTTTCCAGGAAGGGTTGTTTCATTCCTTTAGGAATTAACTAGGTCTCATGTATCACAGGCTTCCTGGGGACTCGACACACATCTGAGGATCTCCTTCAGCTCATTCTTGTTGTCATTTGTTCTGGGGTTCTTCATTTGTGTGTGTTTGGTTTTATGTTTTTTCCATTTTGTTTTGGATTTTGTTTTTTGGGTTTTTGTTTTGGTTTTTTGTTTTTTTGGGGGTTTTTGTTTTGTTTTGTTTTGTTTTTTTCTAGACAGGGTTTCTCTGTGGCTTTGGAGGCTGTCCTGGAACTAGCTCTTGTAGACCAGGCTGGCCTCGAACTCACAGAGATCCACCTGCCTCTGCCTCCCAAGTGCTGGGATTAAAGGCGTGTGCCACCAACGCCAGGCCCTGTTTTTTGTTTTTGTTTTGTTTTTTGAGACAAGGTCTCACCATGTAGCCGTAGGTGCCTCAAACTCACTTTATACACCAAGCTGTCCTTGAACTCAGAGATTCACCTGCCTCTGCCTCCTTAGCACTGGGAACTTCTGATCCTCTTGTCCAACCTCCTGAGTTTAGACTATAAGTGTATCCCACCACACCTGGCTTATGTAGTGCTGGGGATTGATTCCAGGACTTCATGCAGGCTAAGAAAGCACTCTACCAAGTGAGCTATATCCTCATGTCTTGGCAAGGCTTTTTAAGGTCACCCAAAGATGGGCCCTGGAGAATTCGGCAATTCCAAGAGTCTCACATATAGTCAACCTGAAGTCAAATTGGTTCTGGAGTCAAGAAAGTGAAATATCAGTTACACTCTGAGCCAAACACTCCAGGAGTAACTTAGTAATTTATTAGGTGAACAGCTGGACAGCTGGACTCCCACTGGGATGCCATCTTACAGCAGACCCAGGTGCCTCCTCATGAACTGCTTCATTCCAAAGTCCAGAACCTTCTTTCACTGCGGGAACTGCAGTTTTGTTTCTGAGCCCTGACTGAAATCAGTCTGCTGAAAAGGGACTCAGGTTCAGGAGGCCACCTTTCACACAATTGCCAAATCAAGGCTTTGGCTGATGGACTGTGAAATTTTGGCCAAAACCATTAACATGCACTGAGCATCTACTAGTTGTCAAACACGGAGTTAAGAATCCAGATGGGAAGAAAACAAAGCCAGACCCTCCCCTGACCTCTAAAGGCCCAGCCGTAGACCAGCTTGACAGCTGTGGCAAAGCAACACTGTCAACTAACAAAGCCGGGAAAGAAAAGCTCAGGGTTCTGAATTAGGGTCAGAGCTGTGCCTTGGCATCCACAACAAGTGAGGCTCAGCCACCTGTCCTCAATGCACCAACTAAAAAACGCTAACAGAAAAAAACAAAAGACATTTATCCAATGTAGCCACAATGAGAAGGGGGGTGGCTCCACCCCAATTCTCTCTTTGGGTCTTAACAGGGAAGTAAGGGTTTTCACATTTTTACCTTATTTATTATTTTATGAGTATGGGTGTTTTGCCTCCATGTTTATCTGTCACCACACACATGCCTGGTACTCACAGAGGTCAAGAGATCCCCGGGACTGGAGTTACAGATGTGTGAGCTGTCCTGTGGGTGCTGACAACCAACTCAGATTCTAGAAGAGCAGACAGTACTCCTAACCTATGAGCCATCTCTCCAGCGGGAAGTAAGGGTTAAATGGCTTAAGTGAGCGGTCAGGTTAAGGTATGGTCCTGCCCAGCACTACCTGTTCAGCCTGCCCCTCCTACAAAGGTCGTCTTGACAAATTCCTCCTCTGACCCTCCCCCAGGCCCTCAGCTTTTCCTTCTCCCAGCAGCAGGAGCTTCCTGGGGGGAATTCCAATTTCTTGGAGTCCCCTGTCTCAATAATCTGATAGCCAAAGATAAGGACACAATAGAAATCCTCCCTCTTGCCTGGCCCATTATACTACCCTTGAACTCAAAGACCCACTGAGTTCCAAGCTGCCTTGGTTGCGTTCCTCTTGCTGTGGTAAAACACTGGGAGAAAAACAAAGGAAAGGAAAGGTTTATTTGGGTTCCCAGGTCAAGGATACAATATATCATGCTGGGGAAGTATCCTGGCTAGTTTAAATCAACCAGACAAAAGCTGGAGATATCCGGGAGGAGGGAACCCCAACTGAAAAACTTCCTCCCTAAGATCCAGCTTACTTAGAGACTGAAGGGGGAGAGCCCAGCCCACAGTGAGTGGTGCTACCCCTGGGCTGGTGGTCGGGTTCCGTAAGAAAAAGCAGGCTGAGCAGCAAATGAGGAACAAGCCAGGAAGCAGCCCCCTCCAGGGTCTCTGCATCAGCTCCTGACTCCAGGGGCCCTGCCCTGTTTGAGTTCCTGTCCCGACTCCCTTCCATGATGACAGTGATGTGGTAGCAGAAGTCAAATAAACCCTTCCCTCCCCAATCGTGTTTCATCACAGCCACGGTAACACCAGCGAAGACAGAAGTCAAGGTAAAGAGGGCTGAAAGAGGCTGGTCACGTGGTACCCAAAACCCACAAACAGCAATGAATGCCTGTGTTCTGCTCATTTTCTCTCTTTATTTGCAGCCAAGAATCCAAGCCTAAGGCATGGTGCTGCCCCATTTCTAGGGCAAATGTTGCCACCAAAGTGAACTAATCAAGGCAGTCCCTCAGAAGTGCACCCAGAGGTTTGTCTCCTGGGTGATGTCAGATCCTGTCAAGATGACAGCTAATGCTACTCTATGTGACTCTCCTTTGAATCTCAAATAGCTGGGTTTGCAATCAGGGAACCCCAGAATCTCAGGGACTCTCAGAAATTACTGTGCTGATAAAAGAAATAGTAAAACCAAGATGGAAAGATGTTGTGTGAGCTGTTACTGCAGTTCAAAAATGAGAGTGAACTTTTAAAGCAACTACAATATAAAAAGAAATGGTTGGTAGAAGCAAGGAGCTGAGTAGTTAAATAACGAGCTTCTAAGTTTGCCACTCTCCAGGCTGGACCCACACCTCACTAACATAGCTAGCTGCATGGCCTCCAGCTCCACCCAAAGTATCAACTTGCTTAAAGTGCCAACGCCCCTGTGAGAGTTCATTTTTTTATGGGGGAGAAGTTTCCTCGAGACAGGGTTTCTCTGTATTGTTTTGGAGGCTGTCCTGGAACTTGCTCTTGTAGACCAGGCTGGCCTCGAACTCACAGAGACCCACCTGCCTCTGCCTCCTGAGTGCTGGGATTAAACGCGTTCACCACCATCACCCGGAGTGATGCTTACTTTTAATTGTCAACTGGACAGAGTCTACAATCACTTGAAAAGAGTGCTATCAATTAAGGGGCTGTCTAAATCGGGCAGTGGTGGCCCAAGCGTTTAATCCCAGCACTTGGGAGGCAGAGGCAGGTGGATCTCTGTGAGTTCAAGGTCAGCCTGGTCTTCAAAGAGTCCAACACAGTTTCTAAACCTACATACAAACCCAGTCTGGAAAACAAAAACTAACAAAGTAAGGGCTGTCTAAATTGGGTTGGCCTGTGGTGTGTAGGCATATCTGTTAAGAAACGGTCTTGTCAGGACAGCCTCCAAAGCCACAGAGAAACCCTGTCTCGAAAAACCAAAAAAAAAAAAAAAAGGTCTTGTCGCCAGGCATTGGTGGTGCACGCCTTTAATCTTTAATCCCAGCACTCGGGAGGCAGAGGCAGGCGGATCTCTGTGAGTTTGAGACCGGGCTGGACCGACAGCCTCCAAAACAATACAGAGAAACCCTGTCTCGTAAAACCAAAAAAAGAAAGAAAGAAAGAAAGAAAGAAAGAAAGAAAGAAAGAAAGAAAGAAAGAAATGGCCTTGTCAGGCAGTGATGGTGGTTTAATCCCAGCCACTTGGGAGGCAGAGGCAGGCAGATGATCTCTGTGAGTTTGAGAGTTCCAGGACAACCAGGGCTACACATTGAGACCCTGTCTCAAAAAAACTAAAAGAGCAAAAAAGTGGTCTTCACTGTTCTAACCAATGAACACAACTGGGCTGCTGTGCTGTGGGTGACACCATTCCCTAGGTCGGGTTCTGAACTGTACAACAGTAAAGAAATCAGCTGAGCACTACGCATGAAAGCATTTGCTTCTCTCTGCTCTTCATTCACATGTAATTTGATAGCTGCCTCAAGGTCCTGCCTGGACTTCCCTGCGATGATGGACGGTAACCTAGAATTGAAAGTCAAATAAACCCTTTCTCCCCTGAGTTGCTTCTTGTCAGAGAAAAGAAACGAAACTCTGCGTTTCCCTGTCCTTCCACTTTTCTCTGCCTTACTCCAACCCACTTCTCACGCCGTCCGATTAAGTGTCGATGTCTCGCTGTCCTAGAATGGAACATTCACGAGGACAACAACCTTTGTTTCTCTCACTACCTGGTGCACAGCAGAAATAGTTTTAGAACAAATGGGTGACATTCAGAGTAACTCCAGGGACTTCGGAGCGAAGGGGCTGGGCAACCTCGCCGCAGCGGGCGGCCGGGGTCTGGGTCCCCGGCTCGGCTCGGCGCGAGGGGCCGGTGAGGACAAGACGGCTTCCGCACTGACCTTGAGCTCCTGGGAGACCTGGGCCTTCTGCCGATATATGGAGTACAGCACGGCGGTGACAATCGAGCTGGTACCCAGCAGGATGAACTGGCCCAGCGACGGCCGCGATCCGCTCTCCATGGCGACACCGAGCCGCGCCAGCCGCCTGGAAACCACTCGCGACCCCTGTGCAGCCGGGAAACCCTTCCCAGAAAGCGTACGCCGGCGCCCGTTGATGACGAATGCTATCCCGGAAGTGGAGACCCAGCAAAGGGGCCCGGAAGACGACGTTGCCGAGGTGATTGCGATGTTGCTGCGGCCTCAAGGGGAACCGATGGGCACTGCGAGCGACTATATGACTATGTCAGGGCCGGGCGGTGGTGGCGCATGCCTTTAATCCCAGCACTCGGGATGTAGAGGCAGGCGGATCTCTGTGAGTTCAAGGCCAGCCTGGTCTACAGATCCAGTTCCAGGACAGCCCCCAAAGCCACAGAGAAACCCTGCCTCAAAACAAATAAAAAGACCGTGTCAGCCGGGCGGTCCGTGTCAGCCGGGCGGTGGTGGCGCACGCCTTTAATCCCAGCACTCGGGAGGCAGAGGCAGGCGGATCTCTGCGAGATCGAGGCCGGCTGGACCGACAGCATCCAAAACAATACAGAGAAACCCTGTCTCGTAAAGCCAAAAAAAAAAAAAAAAAGACCGTGTCAGTTCCACGCGCTGGCTGTGGTCACGTGGGAGCGCTCCCTCCGGGCTTCTAGACTTTCTGGCTGAGTTATTTTTAAATTGCTTTTTGTTTGTCCTGTAAGTGGGTAAGATCGTACCACAACGCGTGTGTGGAGAGCAGGATGCCCTGTGAGAGTCTGTTCTCTCCTTCAACTTTGTGGGTACTTGGGATCGAACTCAAGTCTTTAGCCATAGCGGCAAGCGCCTTAACCCACTGAACTACTCCAGCCCTTGCTGGGTTATTTGATGTCGCCGTCATCAGAAAGCGAGCGAGTAACGTGTATGTTAAGGACTAAGGAGTGTTACTCATTTAAGCAATCGGGTGAACCTGGGTTATACTCTGTCTTCTTTAAAGACGAGGAAACTGCGGCCAGAGGGGATAGGGAACATGGTCAGAGCCGTGTATACCGCTGAGGAGATCTGGAGAGCAATTAGCCCAGCTGCAAAGCTCTCCCCTCTACTCCAGCTGAATCACTAAAGCAGCTCCTCATCTAACACCACCACATAAAATAGCATACTGTTCCTTTACTAAGAACTGCAACCTCGTTTATTGGATGACTATTATGTGCTATGTACTGTGATTACGTTTCCTAGGTTTGCATTCCACCCGTGATCTTAGGGACCAAACCCAGGGCCACAGGTGCTCTTCCACCCGGGTCCATCCTAGCTCCTCCAGGCCAGCATTTGATGCATAACACTGCCATGGTGCAGGCTTCAGAAGAGGAAACTGAGGCTCAGGTTAAGAAATAGGCTCAGATCTCTAACTAAAAGTGATAAGGGGCTTCGAAACCAGTCGGCCCATCAAGGATCCTTCCAACTCAGGCATCTGCTTCCTAAAACAACCAGAGACCCCCAAACCTTCACCAGCACATCCACATGCAAAGCCTGTGTTCTCTGAGCAGAGTCCTACATGTTATACTTTGAATTATTCAGAATGGAAGAATACATCTATTGCCCCAAAATGATATTTGTTCCTTGGAGTTTTTTATAGCAAAAGAATGAAAATGACTCAATGTCAATAGTTGATGTAAGCATTATGGCTTGGATGGAAACATATTCTGGCACTCAGACGCCAAAGAATACTGAGTGTTACAGCTCAGAAGGAAAAGTATTCTGACAATGGGAAGCTAGGAATACCACGGGTCACAGTAAGCAACAGTACGTGTCAGTCCCCGAAGTGTAGTGTAACAACTCCACTTCCCTAGGGAAAAGCCCCCCGTCCCCCGTTCCCCCGGCAAAAGTGTTACAGCTCTTCCCGGCTCCTGTTTGCTCTGGCTCCAGCAAAAAAAGTTGTTACTTCTCTCCTCTGCTCCAATCCAGGGAAGGAAGTTCTCACCCAATCCTCATTCAAGAGATTTATTATTTATTGGGAAGGAAGAGAGTGGCTGCCTCTGCCAGGGTGGAAGAAGACAGCAGCAAACTGAACAGGCACAGGGTTTATATAGGGCTTCTTAGGGGCAGAGTTTTCCAGGCAGAAGATTTCCAGGGTGGGCACTGATCAAATTTCAATCCCTGAGCTCAGATTGGCTAGATCGTCTGCTCAGGGATTGGTTAGTTTTCTTCTCAGGTGCAGGATCAGATTTGATTCTGGTTTCAGGGCCAAAGTGTGTTTCTTTCACTGGTCCCTTTTAGCCTTTTCGCTCCAATTTTAGGGCCAGGGTGTATTTCTTTCACTGGCTCTGGTTCTAGGAACAAAATGTGTTTCTTTGGCACTAATTTCAGGGCTATGGTGCATTTCTTTGGCTCTGGTTGTAGGGCCAAAGTGTGTTTCTTTCGCTCTGCTCAGGCCCTTTTTTCCTACAGTTGGTTGAATAAAATTTGAAATATTTGTTGAGGCAGGGGAAAATGTTGGGACATGAAAAAGAAGCCCCTGCTGGGTGGTGGTGACACACATCTTTAACCTCAGCACTGGAGAGGCAGAGGCAGGTGGATCTCTGTGAGTTCGAGACCAGCCTGGTCTACAAGAGCAAGTTCCAGGACAGCCTCCAAAGCCACAAAGAAACCTGTCTCAAAAACACAACAAAACAAAAAAGGAAGAAAAAGAAGCGCCTTACCCAGGAATTTGATTGAAGCTCCTTGCCAGAAGAGAATTCCAGGGGATGTTGAGACAGCTAGCCGGTAAAGCTGTGGGTTTGCTGTCAAACCTGAATTCAGTCCCTGGGACCCACATCATGGGAGGAGAGAAACGACTACCAAAAGTTGTCCTCTGACCTCCACTTATGGGCTATGACATGTACATTCTCACACACACACACACACACACACACACACACACACACACTAAATGTAAAAATTAATTCCAACACAATTAACAATTGCCTAAGGCCTTCCTCCCTTCCCAGCTGTAAACTTTCAGTTTTTCAAGAATCTCACCAGAAAATCGACATGTACTAGACCCCTTGTACAACTCTAGTGGCTTCAGATCACAATTCTATCCAAGCCATGCTGCCATCACATTTATCAAATGACAGGGGGCGGGTCTTGGCAACCATTTGTATACAGCATGAGAGCCACCTAAATGGTCTAGCTAATGCTAAGCCACCAATCAATTGCCCTCTCCCCTGAGGAACATATACCTACACTTCGATGTGTCCTACTTGCTTCTCAACGCCTCCTCTAAAGCACCTCTAATGAATTCCCCAGCTGTGCTTCATTACCCTGTCTGGCCCTAAAATGCTTTTCAGCATTGAAGCCAGGAATCCCTTTGGTGTTTGTTGAGGTCCCTAAAAGGGTAGGACTCAGGCCGCTGAGTGTCACAGTGGGGCGCTGTGTTTCTGTCTCCTCACCCTTGGTATCAGTGGGTTAGAAAGTAGAAAAGCAGGCTGGGCATTGGTGGTGCACACCTTTAATCCCAGCACTCGGGAGGCAGAGGCAGGCGGATCTCTGTGAGTTCCAACCAGCCTGGTCTACAGAGTGAGTTCCAGGACAGGTTCCAAAACAATACAGAGAAACCCTGTCTTGAAAAACAAAAAACAACAACAACAAAAAAAGAGAAAAAGTAGAAAAGTAGACTGCAAATGTATTTGATTTTTATCCTATTTTTGTTTCTGTTCTTTGCTGTTGTTGAGGCAAGGTCTCACTGTATATACCTGACTAGCCTGGGACTCACCACACAGATAAGGCTGTCCTCAAACTCAGAGATCTCTCTACCTTTGTCTCCAGGGTGACAGGGTTAAAGATGCACTCTTCTGTGACCAGCAATCCTATTTACTTTTTCTGTTTGTTTTTCAAGACAGAGCTTCTCTGTAACTATGGAGTCTGTCCTGAAAGTCCCTCTGTAGACCAGGCTGGCCTCAAACTCACATAGATCTGTCTGCCTCTGCCTCCTGACCTCTGGGGTTAAAGGCATGCGCCATCACCAACCAGCAAACCTATTTACTTTTAAAAGAATGAAGAATATAGATGTAGATACATATATAGTTTTATTTGTTTTTGAGTCAGGATCTCAGCACAGTCTAGCCCTCAATCACTATGTAGTCAAGGATGACCTTGAACTCCTAATCTTTTTGCTAACATCCCAAGTGCCACTCCTGGCTTAGAAGGGCATGTTTCCAGTCTCTGGGATGATTCACAAAAGGCTAGTCATATTTAGTTTTTGCTATAGAAGGAAACTGTTGCCAGGAGAACTTGGGCCTCAGTTAAGATTCCAAGATGTCTAAGGGAACTTTTCGAGCTATTGAGGGTGACAGTGGAGAGCTTAACCTCCTGCCTCAGCACCCAAAACAGCCTAAAAACAATTCCGGAGAGCATCCTGCACCCAAGCTCTGGACTAGATATAATGCAAAGTTATTCAGTCAGGTCCCTCTCTCTGGCTGTTTAAACCTTTGGGAGAAGCAGATGTCAATATAGGCAAGAGGTCCCTTTTGTCCTAGGCCTGATGGCAAAGCGCCACCAGGCCACAAAGTGAGGGAACAGCTCTTTATTCTCACCAGGGAAGGAAGTTGAGTTCTGTAAACAGAATGGATAGTGAGGTGGCCAGCCCAGATGGGAGCTGCAGAGACTCTGTAGAGGAAAATGATAAAGCTGAGCTATGGGGAGCTGGAGGCCAGGACACAGAACACAACATGTCGTCGAGAAGGAAGACTGGGGGCCAGATGCTGCAGGTCCCTAAATGGTAAGCCACAACTTTACTGTTGTTTGGGGGTAAGATCCAAAACCTTTCAAGATGAGGAAGGCCATGATCTAACTTGTTTAATAATCAAAATTCCTTTATCCTTGGGTCACTGCAAGGGAAAGAAAGGAGGATGGTCACAAAAGGGAAATCTAGAGTGCCCCCACTGCAGATAGGTTGGGGTCCTCGGCCCCTGATCCTGGCCGTTCTTGCCTTATAATAACTCCAGGCCATTGTATAGCCTTCTTGGAAGAGTGTTAAAATGCCCATCACTCTTTAAAAAGAGGTGGGTTGGAATAACCCAGCCTCTTTCTTTCCTTTCTTCTGCCAAAGGCGGAATTCCTTCTTGAGTGGTGTTGAGCACATCCTAGGCAGGCTGAGGCTCACAGCGGTGGGCCGTGTCAGATATGAGAG